GAAGGTCTATATACCTTATAGAAGCTTTATAGAAGCCCTATATACCCTAAACTCCCCACCTGACCCTAAACCCTAAACCCTAAACCCTAAACCCTAAACCCTAAACCCTAAAACCCTAAAACCCTCAGCCCTAAAGACCCTAAACCCTAAAACTCTAAAGCCATAAACCCTAAACCCTAAACCCAATGCCCCTGTACTACCCGTGAAGGAACCCTACCCTATAGGACCCTTTATAGGACCCTAAGCCCTCAAGACCCTCTTGGGCCCAGGCTCGCGATAGCAGACACCACCCTCGGCGATGATCCAGCACGGAATGTTCCCGATCGCCTGCTTGGGGGTTCAGGGCACTGGGGCTTTAGCGCTTCAGGGCTTGGGGGTTTAGGGCTTTAGGGTTTAGGGCTTTAGGGCTTTAGGGCTTTAGGGCTTTAGGGGTTTAGGGCTTTAGGGTCTTTGGGGCTTTAGGGCTTTAGGGTTTAGGGTTTTAGGGTCTTTAGGGCTTTAGGGTTTTAGGGGCTTATATAGGGTCTTTAGGGCTTTAGGGTTTAGGGTTGAGGGTCTTAGGGCTTCAGGGTTTTAGGGTTTTACGGGTTTAGGGTCCTTAGGGCTTTAGGGGTTTAGGGTTTAGGGCTTTAGGGTTTAGGGTTTAGGATTTAGGGGTCTGCAAATCAAAACCCCAAGCGATCCCTAAACCCAAACCCTAAACCCGACCCCTGAACCCGAAACCCCGAAACCCCAAACTGAACCTACAACCCTAAACTCTAGCCCCCAAGCCCCAAAACCCCAAAACCGTAAGCCCAGGGCTGGGTTGGACTTCGCTTCTCCAGGGCTTCGGGTTTTTGGCTCAGGAGTGGGAGGGCTCTCGGGTTCCTGTACCTTAGCGTTTAGGGTTTAGGGGTTTGGGGTTTAGGGTTTAGGGTTTAGGGTTTAGGGTTTAGGGTTTAGGATTTAGGGTTTAGGGGTTTGGGGTTTAGGCTTTCAGGTTTCTTTCAGGGTTTATGGGTTTAGGCTTGAAGGGTGTGTGTAAGTGTTTAGGGTTATTTAGGCTTTCAGGGTTTCTTTGAGGGTTTAGGGTGCAGGGTTTAGGCTTTCATGGTTTCAGTTAATTGAGGGTTTAGGGCTTAGTGTTTGGGCTTTCATGGTTGCTTTAAGGGTTTAGGGTTTAGGGATTTTTGAAGGGTTCCTTGAAGGGATCTAGAAGGGTTCCGGTAGGGGGATCCATACGGGCTCGCATGGGGTTTCGGGTTTTTGGCTGAGGCGACTGGAGCTGCGGGTTCAGGGGTCATGAGCTTTAGAGGTCTGGGTTTAGGGGTTTAGGGCTTTGGGGTTTAGGGTTTTGGGGTTTAGGGGTTTAGGGTTTAGGGGTTTAGGGTTTAGGGCTTGGGGTTTTGGGTTTAGGGTTTAGGGTTTAGGGTGTGTTAAGTTTCATGTTCCGAGCTCCGGCTTTAGATCCCAGGCTTTTGGGTTGGGACGCGGGTTCACTTTGGTCACTATATAAGCTTTGGGAGGATATGAAAAAGCATGTTTGCAATGCAGCAGGTGAGCTGCGTGGCATAACTAGGTCTCCCAGTAGTACGCTTTTGCCCTCTTTCTTATGGGGCCCCCTTCTTAACACCGAATAGTAGGAAAAAGGGTGCCCTGAATTCTAAACCCAAAGCCCTGAGCCCAAAGCCTTGCAATCCCTAAACCCCTAAACCCTAAACCCTTTCGGTTTCGGCTCAAGGGCCGGACCCTAAAGCCCTACAGTCTCAGACAAAAGAGATCGTAAACTGGGCCCAGAAATCCCCAAATCCCTCAACCCTCATCGATCCCTTCAATCAGCCCTTGAGGGATCCCTAAAAGGGTCCCTTGAAGGAACCCTAACAGATCCCTTCAAGGAGCCCTTAAAGGAACCCTTAAGGGATCCCTTAAAGGAACCCTTAAAGAATCCCTTCAGAGGGTCCCTTAAAGGAACCCTTAAAGAATCCCTTGGAGGGTCCCTTGACTTCGACACGCGAAGACCGACCTTAGGGTTTTGAGGGTTTAGGGTTTGAGGATTTAGGGTTTTTAGGGTTTGGGGTTTAGAGTTTGAGGATTAGGGCTTTAGGGTTTAGGGTTTAGGGTTTGAGGATTAGGGCTTTAGGGTTTAGGGTTTAGGGTTTAGGGGTTTGAGGATTTGGGGGTTTAGGGTTTAAGGATGAGGGTTTAGAGTGAAGGGTTGAGGGGTTTTACGGTTTAGGGTCATGGCACCAGAGGCATCGCAGTCCCCGACTTCGCGGAGGATGCAGGCGTCACTCCCATTGCTCCCAAGCTACCCAGGGCCTAAACAACCCCTTCTACAAGTCCTGAAACGGACCATGGGTATAGTGTAGGGGCTTCAATGAGTAATTTAGGGGTTTAGGGTTTAGGGTTTTTTGGGTAGTCCTGAACGAGTCTGGGTTCGGGGTCCGGGCAAGGCTTGGACTACTGGACCACAACCACCACCTACTCTATTGCAGGTGATTACTGAACACAGAGGTTGATGGGGCCCCTACCAACTGCAGGTGATTTAATACAAACCCTAAACTTTTAAACCCTAAACCCTAAACCCTGAACCCTAAACCCTAAACCCTAAACCCTAAACCCTAAACCCTAAACCCAAAGCCCCCCTACGAAGAACCAGGCTATGGTAGCCCAAGGGAGGCTCCCGGGGTGCAGGGTGGTGAGGTTTGGCAGATGGGTAGCTCCCCAAAAGTAGGGCGCCTTTTCTTGGGGTTTAGGGCTTCAGGGCTTTAGGGTTTAGGGTTTATAGATCCCTAATCCCTAAACCCTGAACCCTGAACCCTGAGCCCTGAACCCTAAACCAAGCTAGCCTTATAGAAGCCGACTCTATACTGAAACGGGCCCGAATTTTAGAGAACTACCCATCGAGGCTTCGAAAGGTCGTGTGAAGGCTTCTCAGCCTGAGGGTTTAGGGTGAAGGGAGTGGCGACTTTAGCGATGTACGGTTTGGGGGTTTAGGGTTTAGGATTTAGGCCAGGGGGTGGTGAAGACCAGATCTGGGAGCGATCGCAAGATGGTTCAGATTCTCACCGCTATAACGGTTAACAGAAAAAGGACAGTAGTGGGAACTAGCCGAGGCAGGCGTCGTCATAGTCGTCGTCATCGTCGTCGTGGTAGTGGTAGTAAGCATGCACAGTATGACAGGATAGTAAGAAGAACTGCAAGGCAAGACGAATTACCGTCGTGTCTGAACCCCGAGTTTTAATCGACGTTCAACCGTCTCGCCGAGAGCCTGTAGTCGCACAGCGCGGCAACTCACAGCTGTCGCAGGGAGCTGGTCGATCAGGATGTGGGTCTAGGGGTGTCGTTGCCAGGAATCAAGACTCGCCCCCTAATCTGAATCAAACCGCCTTCAGACGGAAGCCCCTCTCAATCAGCCCAGGTTAATGCCTATGTGGTCCAGTCTCCGCTATTTTCGACAAACCCGCACATTGGCAAGAAACTCGGCTGCACGGATCCAAGAATCTCCGGGGAGGTTCGGAACTTCGAAGCCCTGCCTACCCTAAGCCCTAAACCGTATGAAGGTCTTCCTTAAACCGGAAGGAAGCCCTCCCGACCAAACAAAGGTACTGCGCTGTGGGCATTGGGCTTTAGAGTTCAGGGTCCGAGGATATTTACCACCGATACCGTTGGAAGAAGAACCTTCTTTTTCCAAACCCTAGACCCTATAAATCCTAAACCCCGAACCCCAAACCCTCAACCCTAAATCCTCAACCCAGAACACTCTCAACCATATACTAATACTCTGAACCCCCAAAATGCCTCAACCCTAGGCCTTAAAACCTCCTAAACCCTGAGCTCTGAACTCTGACCCTCAAAATGCCTCAACTCCAGGCCTTAACAACCCGATGCCTATATCCCACACCCTGAGCCCTGAACTCTGAACTCTGACCCCCAAATGCCTCAACCCTAGACCCTAACAACCGATGCCTATACCCCGAACCCCGAGCCATGAACTCTGAACTCTGCCCAAGTACCTCAACCCTAGACCCTAGACCTCAAAACCCTCTGCCTATACCCGAAAACCCTGAACTCTGAACCCCAAAATGCTTCAACCCTAAACCCCAGACCCCTTAACCCTAGATCCTCTCTCCAGGAAGCTCGGCTTGTTCGATCTCTATCACACGGCCATGGTCTTCCGCCAGGAGATCCCAGGCCAACACCGGCTCTTTTGGAGTTTAGGTTCTTCGGGTTTTGGGTTTAAAGTCGTAGGGCTTGGGGTTTAGAGTTTAGGGTCCTTTTTTAAGCTTTGTTATAAGCATCACTATATTTGTTGCAAAAAGGGTTCTTGTATGGGTTGCTAAGAGGGTTATTATGTGGGTTGTTATAGGCAACTGTTACAGGGTTTTCTGGAAGCGTTTGTGGTTCATGGGCGAAGCAGCGAAACGCGCATGCGAGCCAATGCAAACACATAATCATGTGTATGAATACATCTGTACCGGTAGCATCAGCCATCAGGAACATAATATAGGGGCCTAAATAATTACCAATACTGTTTCGGATGTTCGTTATTTTTTTATATTCATAGTAACGATAATATTTTATATACCAAAACTCTATAGAAAAAAAGGTCCTCGTTTCTGACGTCTGGGAATTGGCCCCTGAGCCCTAGTCCTCAAAGCCTAAACGCCATCTTAGGCCGCAGCTTAAACTCCTAAACCCTCAGTCCCGAAATCCCTAAACTGTAAAAGCCGCTAAATGCACCAAGCCCCTACACCCCATAATCCGCTAAATCCCCATCGAACGCTCACAGATACTGTATCCGTTTGAAGCAGCTTGAAAGGAACCCTCAAAGGAAACCCGTCAACAAACCCTTAAAGGAACTCTTCAATTTAAACAAACCCTTCATGAAACCTTCAAGAACCCAAAACTCGAAAAAAGGCCATAAACCCTGACAGGTCAAGATCCTAAACCCCTAACCCTTTAACCCTAAACCCCAAAACCCCTTAGCCTGGGCCCCTAAACCCCCCCCCAAAAAAACTCTAAGTTACGATTTTCCTGGCAGGTCAAGCGCCGCGGAACTGGACCGTGGAATTCGACTCTGCCCTGTCCTCTGCTCCGGGGTTTGTCTACACCCTTCAACCGCGAAACCTCCGGTTTAGGGGTTTGGGGGTTTTGTGGTTTAGGGTTTTGGGGGTTTAGGGTTTTGGGTTTAGGGGTCGACTTACAGCCACCTAATATAGGGACCCTAATAACTCGAGTAGGGTTTTGGTGCCGATTTGTGTAACCATACCGGGGACTGCAAGAGATAGGGGTAACCTTTACGGGCTCCTCTCTGCGGGATCTTTTCAAAAGACAGGAATCTATGAAGGATGTACTTAAAGGATCCTCAAGGGTTCTATGAGGGTTGAGGGTTTAGGGTTTAGGGCGAGTCGGTCGACATCATAAGGGGGCTTCTAGTCCTTCTTCATCAGGCTGCACTGTGCTTCTGGCAAGTTTTTCACGCTGGACTTGCTAGAAGAGAGCTCCATACCGAGCTTGTTTCGTGCTCCTGTAATGCATCTCTGTGTCTGCCCAATCCTTGTCCAACCAGACGACGGATTAGCTAAGGTTTTTGAAAGCCACAAACCTTCGAGATTTCAAACAGGGTGCTGTTGTAGCGGCGCCGTGCTCCGATGATGCTAGTTAGTGGTAGCGCCGTTGTAAGCCACCAAGCCACTAGCACTTTGTGATTAGTCTGATATGTAGTATGCAGTCAGAAGTTTCACAAGTCGTATTGTTTAGGCTTGTCGTGCTTTCGTCATGGCAGCACTTCCCGAATGACCCCCGAAACCCTAAACCCTAAACCCCACCTGCGAGCCTGAGGTTATAGGACCCTTAAGGAACCTAGGGGAGCAACTACTATGGAGAATCAGGGATTATCGTGTTGTAATACTCCCCTTACGGCTTAGGGTTTAGAGACTATGGAGAATCGGGGCTTATTCTTTTAGAATACTCCCTTTGAAGGGACCCCATAATGAGGTCACCAATGTCCTGGGCGCCGTCCTTCCGAAGATTGACAACGGAACTCTGAGTTGGAACAACGACGCCCGATACTGCGTCACTCCTGGGGTGCTCTGGGGCGAGGCGGGGGTTTTGACTTCTGTCTCCGAAGCATTACCCAACGCCCCCCCCCCCTCCCTCCAAAAAAAAAAGTAGGTCAACTTGAGAGAGTGACCCCAAGCTTAGAAGGGGTGTTCTTCTGCATACTTTTGGGGTCCAGGTGTTAGCTGCAAGCTTGTGCCGTAGATCGGCCCGGATTTGCTGCGGCCTATATAGACAAAGCGCGAGAGGACAAAAACAGTACAGACGCGCGGGAAGGAGAGAGAAAGGGGGAGGAGGTGACAGCTCCAGAACTGTCGCTGCTGCCGACTTAGGCAAGGCCTTATAGCCTGGGGAGGGGAGGGGGGGCAAGCCCGCTTTGCGGTACACCCGGCAGTTGTTCCCAAGAGCAGTCCTACTGACTTGATTCATACCAGCCCATACCAAAAGCAATAGCATTGATTGACGAGGATGTTAATGCCATCAGACTCCTCCATTACCTCTTGTTCCTGCCTTTGGCCAGGCACATTGGAGCAAAATGAACCTTGGCTGGGCATTCGGTATGCAGTCTCTGCTGCTTCATCCTGCTCTTGCTTCAAACCTGTAAGTCGTTCTACAAGACACACGACAGTCTTTAAGCGATCCGGCCAACTTTCAAGATTGTCAGGTTGTCTGATTCACCTTTAATAATATCTTTATGCACCCTGAGGAAGCCTTGGTACAACCCTCATGCAAGGCCCTTGCACAATTGCGCTCTGATTGACCAAAGTCGATGAGACCCTCATAAAGCCTCGTAGAACCCGTACACAAGCATCACCCTTCGTCTCCAAGAGCTTTTCGAGGAATGGGGCGGTTGGAGTTTCGAAGAGCATATAGGGTTTAGGGTTTAGGGTTTAGGGTTTCATAGATAGATGGCTAAGGCTTTCGGACTTGGGGTTGGGGGGGTTCGGGGTTTGGGGTTGAGTGTGGGGTGTAGGGGTTCGGGCTGTTTGGTTGAGAATCAATCAAAAACTGTTCAACAGAGATGCCAGACATACAATATAGGGGCCTTAACATCTAGAATAGGGTTTGGGGGCCCTTGATACTATATTTATAATAAGGCACACGCCAAATAGTATTAGCAATTATGTCGGCCGCTGTATCAAGTGGTTCAGGTGCATGGGGCAGTTCGTGCCTCTCAACCGCCTCCCGACCCCAGTCGTGAAACCCTGCAAGATGAGAACGAGAAGAGGAGGAAGCAGGGTAGTTTAGGGTTTGGGGGTTAGGGTAATGTGATGATGTTGATGTGGGTGATTATGATGCTGATCAAGCTGAAGAAGAAGATGATCATAAGGAGGAGGCGGAGGAGGTGTCAGAACACGCATACTTGGCGTTAATTCTTGTGTCGACTGCCGTTCCCTCACGAGGGGTAGTAGTAGTCCCTGCCGCCGTTAGAGAAGTAGTCGTAGCAGCAGTCGCAGTTGCAGTCGCAGTGGCAGTGGCGGTAGTGGTGGTTGGTCGTAGTCGTCGTCGTCGTAGGGTCAATGGGCATATCCTCCCTTTGACTGCTCACAGGTTCGACTTGGCTCTGCAGCTCACCAGCACGCAGGCCACGAAGATCTTCACTGACCTCATCCCATCTGCCAGTCAGCTGCACTGGAGAGTGGGGTTTAAGTTTACTGTTTAGAAAAAAAGGTTTAGGTTCTTGAGCTGAAAAATTAATCTGAGCTGTCATGGCTTCGCACCACATCGGATAAAGCTCAGGATCCAGGTTTTCGGCTTTAGGGTTCAGGGTGAGCCAGTTTTGATTCAGCATGGGCCATGAAGAACCACGACATCAGCTGCAAGGCTCCGAGATAAAATGACAGGAGTGGTGGTGGTGCTGGTGGTGACAGCGATAGCAATGACCGCTGTCATGAAAGAAATTATCAAAAAGTATTTACGGGCAAATATTTTATGGTTTGATGGCGCTCTGTCGGACTAGACTGTGACATGTGAGACACAGCAGAATACCAGCAACAGCGGCATAACTACAGCCAGTGAACTCGTAGCTGAGATTCTGGATAAACGGTCGGAGTTGTAGCCAAAGTGCCGGTCATTTCCCTACAGCCCCGTGAAGTCTAGAGCCTAAACCCCTCTAAGCCCTATACACTTGAAACTTGTCAGTTGTAGAGCTTAAATCACTTGAATCCTAAACCCCAAGAGGGTTTAGGGTTTGGGGTTTAGGGCTTAGGGATTAGGGTTTAGGCGACCCGCACCTCCTTGTCGTCTCCTTCTAATTCCAGACCACGATTCTGGGATAACATACCCAGAACCTTCTTCCAGTCATTACGGCCCGGCTATGGCCCTAGATGGGGTGAACCACACCCGCTTCTAGTTGTTCAAACTCTCAGATAATAATAATAAGAAGAAGAAGAATAAATATGTATGTACACATATATATATATATACACAAGCCCTCTTCTAAGCACTGCGGCCCCTACGTGGCCCTAGATGAGGTGAACCGCACCGCGCATCAGAGTCGCCCTCTCTACCAACTCTGGAGGGTGACGCGTCGGGAGCCGGAGCAGACCCTGATCAAGGAGAGCGCGACCTCGGGGGTTCAGAGTGTAGGGTTTTAGGGCTTTAGGGTTTAGGGTTTTGGGTTTTAGGGTTTTAGGGTTTAGGGTTTCGGGTTTAGGATTTAAGGTTTCGGGGTTTAGGGTTTCAGGGTTTAGGGTTTAGGATTTAAGGTTTCGGGTGTAGGATTTAGGATGAGTATAGTGAGGGGAGTGCTAGGGTTTAGGGTTTTTTTTTCGAGTTTTCAGTTGTTACGTCTACGGGGATAATTTCTGGTTTAGTTTCTGAGAACACCGCCCAGGGCCTCTGGAGTTTTCCCTGTGTTCTACACATCCCTTAACCCTAAACGGTTCTTGGGTTTTGTGGACCCTAAGCCCTAAACCCTAAACCGGGATGCAGGACATAACCTGTGGAGATGGCATCAGCAGACTCCTCGGCGAATGCAGTATCATGCGTGTGTGGTTTGGCGTTTGTGGCATCGGTCGGGTCCGGGTTACAGGGAATTGAGTTTTCTTGGGTTTATAGGGCCGTAGGATGTCAGGATTTAGGGCTTAGGGCGAGTCGGGTGATTGGAGTTGTCCGTTTTGCTGGCTGCTCAGAGCCTAGAGCAGCACGTCGGTAGCGATACTCACAGACAGCTTCCTTCTCCCTATATTAAAGCCTTACTAGCCCCATAGAGCGCTTGTTGAAGGAACCCTTAAAGTTAAACCCTAAACCCTAAACCCTTAAGGGAATTGAACGGCTCAGATTGGATCCTCCACTTCGCATCCACACGGCTGCAAGTACCAGTTGAAGCTGGCTTCGAGCTGAAGTTTACGTCCATCCTCTTCCATGCAGACAGGCCCTTTAGGGTTTAGTAAAGGGTTTAGCGTTTAGGGTTTAGGGTTTTAGAGTTCAGGGTTTAGGGTTCAGGGTTTAAGGCTTTAGGGTTTAGGGTTTAGAGTTTGGGGTTTAGGGTTTAGGGTTTAGGGTTGAGGGTTCAGGGTTTAGGGTTTGGGGTTTTAAGCCCAGCGATAATTGGTATGGACTTTGCCTATGTGAGTGCTGGGTAGCGTTCAGGGCTTGGGGCTTTGCCGTAGATTCGCAGACCTCCTAGAAAAGCTGTTGGGATGCATACCTGAAGCCCTCGAAACCTAAGACCGTGCTTCGTCCGGCGAGGTTGAACCCCGTTGCCGTTGGCAGTGAGCAGTGGCCAGATGTGGTGAAGTACTTTGAGGGCTCCTCGCACGCAGATGCGGGGGATGTTTTGCTTGGGTTAGGATTCTGAGATTTGGGGTTGCAAGTTGCAAGCCAAGAGTCTAATGTGAGACTTGGGGTGTAAGCCAAGTGAATCTTCCACAAGCCAAACTCTAAGCACCTGAACTCTAAAACCCTAAGTCCGCAGACGGACCCTTCACCCTGGACTCCGAAAGCCCCCCTCTTCAGGTACCCTTAGCCCTAAACACTACATCCTAAACCCTAAAGCCCTAAACCTAACCCTGGACCCCCAAAGCCTCCTCTTCAGGAATGATTCAGGCCACAGCATCCCACCAGACTCTCTTGGAGCGATTGTTGGAAATGCTGCACCTGATGCCCGTGCATTTTGTCTACGACTCAAACGCGAAGGCGAGCGGCAAGCGGCGGTGGACACACAACAGACAGGGCTCTGCAGTAGCATGATCTTCCCTAAACTCTACTATAACGGCCTTGGTAATTAGAATCGGCTTTGGGGACATCTTATACTCTAATTACCATAAGGAACCCCCAAACCCTATTCTAAGTATTCAGGCCCCTAAACCCTAATCCCTAAACCCTAAACCCTAAACCCTAACCCCTAAACCCCTAAACCCCTAAACCCTAAACCCTAAACCCTAAACCCTAATCCCTGAGCCTGCATACCCTGCGGTTCGGATACGTCTCCGCTCTCCGCCTCCAGCTGCTGGCTCAAGCGCTGCCCTCTTGCCCCCTTGGGTTTAGGGTTTAGGGTTTAGGGTTAGGATCATGCGATGGAACCAAGAGTCTAGGTGTATACATAGTGCAGCCTACGTTTAAATGCCCAAAAGATCCAATTCAGGTGCTGACTTTAGTCTCAAACCCCAAACCCTAAGCCCCAAACCCTAAACCCCTAAATCCCTAAACCCCTATATCCCTAAACCCCGAAACCCTAAACCCCCAAACCCCCAAGCCCTAAACCCGGAAACCCCCAAACTCTAAACCCATGGCTACGAAGTACGCGGAGGCTCAAACTCCGAAGGTCGGCAAAACCCTGGGCTGCAAACCCCCAGACTCCAAACTCCTGAGTCTTACTTGGCTTAGGGTTTAGGGGTTTAGGGGTTTAGGGGTTTAGGGTTTAGGGTTTAGGGTTTAGGGTTTAGGGTTTAGGGTTTAGGGGTTTAGGGTTTCGGGTTTAGGGGATTTGGGTTCAGGGTGGGGATCCACAAACCTACTGCTTTAAGGGCTACATCCCATCACCTAAACTCTAAACCCTGAACCCCTAACCCCCTAAACCCCTCAACCCCTACACCCCTAAACCCCTCAACCCCTAAACCCCTAAACCGTTCAACCCCAAACCAGGTCGGCTTGTGGCCCCATGAGAAGACGCTTCTTCAGTCTGGGGCTCTCTCAGAGATCTCCCATCGGGGAGCCAGCTCCATCTTGCTGCAGGCCTGTAGGGTTTAGGGTTTAGGAGTTTGGGGATTTAGGGATTTAGGGTTTAGGGTTCAGGGTTTGGGGATGTAGGGTTTAGGGTTCAGGGTTTGGGGATTTAGCGTTTAGGGTTCAGGGCTTAGGAGTTTAGGGGTTCGGCTGTGCTAGGTAGCGTCTTGTTTTCGAGGGCTAGAAGCAGCTTCTCGGCACGGAACAGAAAGTGGCCCACAAGCTTTGGGGTCTAGGGCTTAGAGTTTAGGGTGCAGGTTCTAAGGTTGGGATTTTGGGGTGGTTTCGAGTGCTCAGCTCCATTTTGCTGCAGGCCCATCACCTAGAACAAGAGAGGGACCTTCCGGAGGATGGGCTCGAGGACACTGCGGAGAAGGAGGAGCTGGTGCTTGGGCTCTTGCTCAGGCATAGTATATATACATACACATATATTATGTATGTCTAGCTTTCTTGCTGCCTCTCTCTCTCTGTGTCTATATATATATATATATGTACATATTTTTTATGTTTATTCATGTATGTGTGTATGTAGGCCAGCAGGGAGATCGGTAGGCAGGCCGAGGCAGTCAGGCAGCCGGCGGCAGGTAGGTAGGTCGGTCTGTCGGTAGGTAGGCAGGTAGGTAGGCAGACAGGCAGGTAGGTAGGGTACAGTAGGTAGGTAGGTAGGTAGGTAGGTAGGCAGGCAGGCAGGCAGGCAGGCAGGTAGGTATACGAGTAGTTAGCGAGGGGGGGATGCATTAATGAATGAATGAATACATTGAATACATGCATCATCATGCATCGTTACATAACTTTTGTGTGTGTATATATATATAT